CATGATGCCTCCAAACCAGGCAACTACAGGTTTCTCAAAAGTATGTTCAAATCTAAATTGAAAAAATGCCCCTCATACACACTTGGCTTCTGCCAGCTGAGCCTCATGAGGCCATCAGATGTCAGTGTCCCCAGCTACCAACACTGCTCCAGAGCCCAGTGACATCCAAAGTCCTCATCACTGTGCACCTTACCAACATCTCATCAACCCTCAACTCAAATCCTTGTTAGTTTTACATCCTGATTCCTCCTCTTTGCTGCCAAGATGCAGCATGATTTATATTTCTTTATAATAAATTAAAAGTAATTAAAAGTAATTTGCAGTAATGAGAATGCCCCTTGTACGTTGAAGACTACTTGAGGCATTACAAAAATGGCTTGAGAACAGTTATTCTGAGAAATAAACTCCATAAAGGCAGGGTCCATATCTCTTCAAATACTGTAATTTTCAGATAATCTAGTATAGAGCCATCCACCTAGGAAGTACACTTCGTACTGCTAGAAGCAAGGGTAGCTCCTTACCTTCTAAGTATCTTTCACCATTAATTCCATTGACATCCACTCATTTATTCATTCAGCAAATATTTTTTGAGAATCTTCTATGTACCAGGTACTGTTCTAGCCCTGGAAATACTATAGTGAACAAAAATGAGCAAGTTCTCGCTCTCATGTCTAGTTAAGGGTTGGGGAAAAGAGGAAAGACAGATAATAACCAAATATATAACATATTGGGTCAACGGACTGTAAGTCCAAGGGAGTTCAAGAAGTGTTGGAATGGAGATACCAGAGTGAGAAGAAAAGATAAAGATGGTGGTCAGGAGGGGAGGGGCTTAGAACTGAAATTATGTAGAAATTGTAGATATTGGAAAAAACAATATTTAGAGTTTTACCATGGGAGCAAGCAGCAGGTGAGGAGTGGATAACCAATCATTGGAAGATGATCAAGGACGAAGGTATTGGAAGGACCATCAATATGGACATTTCAATCTCCAAAAAGGAGGACGGGAGTAGTGGAAGAGTAACAGTGAGTAAGAAGCTACAGTCTTCAGGAAGTGATGGGGAGGGACGCAGGCAGTGGGAGATGACTGCAAAATGTGAGTGGTGGTATGATCTCACGCACACGAACGTGCTGACTGGGCTTGTTCTGTGTTTGATGCTTGGCTCATCAATGATCAGACTTTGCTTTCTGATCATTAAAGGCTCTATATTTCCAAGTACAAATTACTTTGACCACATCCCATGAGGCTTGATATGTAGTGTCTCATTATTGTGTAGTCCTACACATTTTAAAATTTCTTATTTGATCTACGAGTTACTTTATAAACATGCTGTTTTATTTTTTTAAAACGTAGTCTTTTTTCTCCAGTCTAATTTAGATGCACCTCTTCTGTGTCCCCAGATCTCTCTGTGATCTCTCTTTTATAACCTATTTATTGTATTGACATAGCATATTTATCTTCCCCACTAGACTCTTAGTTCCTCATGTGTAAAATGTGAATGAAGGAATGAACAAATGAATGAAGGAATGTCTCCTATCTGGTACCACCCTTTTGGGCTTTCCTTTCCCCTCTGTATTCGCATCGCCCCCTGGCCCCACCTTCCTTTCTGGCCTATGACCTCTGACCCTGCCTTCCTCTGTAAGTCCACCCTCTTCTCCAGTGCTGTCCTTCTCATTAATTTAATAAGTATTTCTTGAGCTGTGCTCCATGCCGTTCACTGAACTAAACATGGGGAGGGTGTTTATCTTTGTGTATCCCACAAAGATAAACAAGACAAATCCTTGTCTTTGAGCAGCTGTCAGTCAGGTAAAAAAACTTATCAAAAAATCATAATTCAACATGAAACATGCTAAGACAGAGATAAGTGTGAAGTGCTGTGGGAGTCTAAATCAGGAGAGGGAAGAAGACTTGGAGTGATGTCTCCTCTCTGCCCGCCCTCCCCCCAGACCTATGAGCAGCGGAAGGTGGTGGAGTTCACGTGCCACACGGCCTTCTTTGTCAGCATCGTGGTTGTGCAGTGGGCTGACCTCATCATCTGCAAGACCCGCCGCAACTCCATCTTCCAGCAGGGCATGAAGTGAGCGCCCACCAAATGGCCCCAACACTCTCCCAAACCTGCACACAGGAATGTGCCATTTCCCCCTGCCTTTTTCTCCCCATCCCCAGCACAGCTGTAAATGTTTCTTCCCAGAAACAAGATCCTAATATTTGGGATCCTGGAGGAGACCTTCCTGGCTGCTCTTCTATCCTACACTCCAGGCATGGACCTGGCCCTGCGAATGTACCCCCTCAAGTGAGTAAGGGAAGGGATGCAAGCAGGGGATTCTCCAGCACAGGGAGTGTGTGAAAGGAAGTGTGTGTTTGAACAAGACCATCACGAACTACGGGCTGCCTGGATAAATGGGGCTACCCTCAGTGATGTAAGGAGAGAGTCGTATGTGCTCCAATAAATGGATCTTATTTAGGGAGATATTAGAAACGGTGCCAAGTGATCACAGCACACCAGACATGCAAATTTAGCAGACTTACCAGTGTTTAACAAAGTGGAATTTTTTCATGATGATGTGTGTGATGTAGCTGTCCAAGGATACATATTGCTTGGAGCTGAAGTAACCATAAAAATAGCCTCATCTATGCTTAGATAATTCTGTTGTACTTATGCAATATATTTCAATGTACATATATGTGAGTGGGCATACTGAAATTCTTATTGTCTGGTACTTCGTCTTGTTCATCTCCCAGGTTTTTGTTTTAAGATTAGTATATGCTTGTTGTGAAAAAATTCTATTTAAAAATTTACAGAGAAAAAAGCAAAAGTCCCTTTCCCCTCACTTCTCCACTACCCCACCCCACATAGATAGCCTCTTTTAATGACCTAGTGTGTATTCTTCCAACTTGCTTCCTATGCATTTACATACTTTGCTCACCTTTACACAATGCTTTATACAATGTAGGTGCTCAATTAATGTTTAATAGGAGACATTGGCACTGGCCTTAGTTATTGACAATCCCAGGTTTGAATCTCAACTCTACTGTGTATTATTTTGTAATCTTGGATAAGTATGTAACCATTCTGGGCCTCAGCTTCACCTCAAAAGTCTCCACAATACACACCTGGCAGAGTGTTGTGAGAATTACATATAGAAATGGGTATAAAGGACCAAGCATTCTTGGGTCGTGGGGGATGCTTTGTTAATAGTAGCTTTGCTCCTGTTGTTATTCATGTCAGTATAGAATAACATGCACTTGAGCATTATCTGCGTGCTCTCAAACACTCTGTGCATATCCTGACCAGAAGACTCGGTACCTAATATTGTAATTCTTTATTGTGTGTGTGCATTTACCTTCTTTTTTCTGATCCCCCTGAGCTCCTTGAGATCAAAGACTATCATGTAATCATTTTTATTTCCCCAATACCCAACACAGACACAGAGTAGACATGTGATGATTGTTGCTGAATGAATGTGTGACTATTGGTATATAAATGTTTATATTTGCTAAAGTGTGTGTGCAGAATGAACCATGGCCTAGGTCCGTGCGGTCTAATATGGTAATCACTCTCTGTACATGATTATTCAACTCTTGAGACACGGCTAGTGAGATTGAGGAACTGACTTTGTAATTTTATTTAATTTTAATTAATTTAAAGTTAAAAACTAAAGCAGTGAAAAATATTTTTCTTTTAAATACAATTTTAACGTTTTGTTTGAACTACATTTCCCTTTAATCACTGAAAATTTATTGTCTGAATTGAGACGCGCTGTCAGTGGAAAATACTCATTGGGTTTCCGAGACTTAGGGTGAAAAGAAGAATGTACAATATCTCATGAATAATATTTACATTGATTACATGTTGAAATGATAATATTGTGGGTACACTGGGTTAAACGAAATTATTTTAAAAATTAATTTCACTTTTTTTTCTTATTTTAATGTGGTTACTAGAAAATTTTAAATTTCACATGTGCCTGACATTATATTTCTATTGGACAGTGCTGATCTAGGCCACCTCTTCTCTCAGTCATCCAAGGGAACAACTGTGGTCCTGATTCAACCCTTCCCCAGAGTCCATCTTCCTGGTTTCTAATTATAGAAGAGATTCAGGAAGGGGGCTGGCCAGTTAGCTCAGCTGGTTAGAGTGTGGTGTTATAACACCAAGGTCAAGGGTTTTCAGATCCCTGTACCAGCCAGCCACCAAAAAAAAAAGAGAGAGAGAGAGAAATTCAGGGGAAAATAAATCCCCATCTTTGCAATATGGAAGAGTATATATTTATGTATATATAGATATGTATATATTTATGTGTATATATACACATATTCTCTGGCTGAATATCCCCACACTAGATGTCTGGGGAATGTCTCAGATAGACCCATCCTGCTCAGACAGCCTTCCCTGGGTGGGCGCAAGGCCTAGAGTATGCAGAAAGCAAAGGGGGTCTACCTCAGCAACTCCACAAAAATCAGTAGATCATCCGTCAACACTGCATGTACCTCCACTATGACATTTATCATATTATCACTGGCTTTTTATGTTCTGTCTTGAGCCTCTGCTCTCCACCCCAATCCCTCGCCCCAGGCTCTGACCTCCTCGAAGGTAGGGATCCACTGGAGCTTACTCACCTCACCTCGCTGTCTCCGGCCCTTGGCAGTCCCAGGCACATAGTGGACACAATACATGAGACACATGATTCCTGCACACTGTTCCCTGCACCTGCCTTTCTCTGGCCTCTGTACTTCCTGCCACACTGACTGACTCTTGATCTCTGCAGGATGGTCTGGTGGTTCTGTGCCATTCCCTACAGCATTCTTATCTTCATCTATGATGAAATCAGAAAACTCATCATCCGTCAACGGCCCGGTGGTGAGGCTCCCCTGGGCCCTGCCCTGATTGAGTGGTCACCAGCCCCCTAACTAGCTGGCCCATCCACCTCACCCCTCCAGTCCTACTGACTTTCTCCCCACTCACTGGCTGGCCTCTACTGTGCCCTCTACTCCTGTTGGTAGAGACCCCAACCCTTGAGTGGTCACCAGCCCCCTAACTAGCTGGCCCATCCACCTCACCCCTCCAGTCCTACTGACCTTCTCCCCACTCCCTGGCTGGCCTCTACTGTGCCCTCTACTCCTGTTGGTAGAGACCCCAACCCCCTGCTTCTGTGTTCCAGACCCCAGGCTTCCGACCTTGTCCTTGCTTTCCTTCTGCCTCTCTCCCCCTGCTGCCTTCTTTCATTTCACTCTGGTGTCTTCTCTTCCATAGGCTGGCTGGAGAGGGAGACGTACTACTAAACTCAGCAGAGGAAGAGCTTCCCATGGCATAGGGGTGTCATGAGAGCCGGGGTGGGGTTAGGGATCATGCGTTTGACACAACATCTGAGAGGTCACATGAGTTGGGGGCCAAGAGACACCAGGTTGAATTACCTTGGATGAGAGAGACAGGCGATGCTGGGGCTGGATTAAGGATGTCACAGTAGGAGATGGGTGGGTTGAAGGGAGCCCAGAGGGGAGGGGCATAGCCGTGTTGAATCTGGTAGCCAATCTCCAGAGAATAAATGTTTGGAACAGCCCTCACCTGTCTGGATGTGTGACATGTGATTTGGGGGGCATGGAGATTGCTGTGAAGCTCCCTCCATAGATCTTCATGGTAACTGGAGTGGGGGTGGGGAGAGTCTTTCAGGGACTGGAGGCCAGACTGGGAGGGGATGTGAATCAAGCATCTTTGCCCCTTGAGGGCTATCCTCTACCTTAAGTCACTCTCTGATCCCTTTGAGAGCAAGAACAGGATAAACAACTGTCCCAGAAGTCCAGTGGGGCTCAGAGAAATGGAAAGGGAGTGAGAGAGGGGCAGCTGAGCCATACCCCGTAGAGGGGCCCACAGCAGAGGCCGGTGGGGTGGGCTCATCTGTCCCCCCATTCCTCAGACCAGTGTATGGACTGTAGAGTTGTGGTGCCAGAGGAGACCTTATTTGATCAATGAAGAATCTGAGGTCCAACGAGGTTAAATGATGGGAATGGTCACGTGGTGCCCTCTGAGGAAGGGCAGGCAGGAGGGAAGGACTCCAGGCAGACTGGGGGTCTCTGTCCTGTGCCCCCGTCGTCAGAGCATCTCAGCTTCATCCATCACTCAGCCCGTTCTCTCTGGTGTGGCCTTGAAATAGAGGCTGTAACAATGTTTTCTGAATCCCTGCAGCCTTTGCTTTAGGTGAGGCACCCCAGCTCTGCTCTACACAGGGTGATGGGCATCCCCGAAAGCTTGGTCCCTGTGCCTGGGCTCTGGCACTTTGCTGGTCCCTTCTTGGATGAATGAGTCGTCCCGGGGAGCCTTTCATTCCTGCCCACCCTCATCCTGGTGGATCTTCCTTTTCCTTCACCCACTTGCCCCTTTCGCTTTGCTCAGAGAGCTCCTCCGCTTTTCCCTGTGGGTCGGTTCATTCCCAGGCCTCTTTCAGAGTAGAGGGTCGGCTGAGCCCCAAAAATATCCAGGGTAAGAGAGAAGTGATAAAGAGAGGAGGAAGGGCAGGCAGGAGGGAAGGACTCCAGGCAGACTGGGGGTCTCTGTCCTGTGCCCCCATCGTCAGAGCATCTCGGCTTCATCCATCACTCAGCCCGTTCTCTCTGGTGTGGCCTTGAAATAGAGGCTGTAACAATGTTTTCTGAATCCCTGCAGCCTTTGCTTTAGGTGAGGCACCCCAGCTCTGCTCTACACAGGGTGATGGGCATCCCCGAAAGCTTGGTCCCTGTGCCTGGGCTCTGGCACTTTGCTGGTCCCTTCTTGGATGAATGAGTCGTCCCGGGGAGCCTTTCATTCCTGCCCACCCTCATCCTGGTGGATCTTCCTTTTCCTTCACCCACTTGCCCCTTTCGCTTTGCTCAGAGAGCTCCTCCGCTTTTCCCTGTGGGTCAGTTCATTCCCAGGCCTCTTTCAGAGTAGAGGGTCGGCTGAGCCCCAAAATATCCAGGGTAAGAGAGAAGTGATAAAGAGAGCTGGGGGAAATCGTCAGCTGTTACCTAAAACAAAACACATGTATTAAATGACCGCACACGACTCCTAACACTGGACAAGGGCTTTACATGCCATCAGTTACTTCACACAGATGTATTTCTGTCACTCCGCCCCATTTTATAGGAGAGAAAACCAAGAACTTGCGCCCTCAACCACTTTTCAGACGAATCTCACAATACAGGCTCTTACAATACAGGCTCTCTCTTTCCCATTCCCCTCCCTCTTCCCACACAAGGTCTCCTAGGGACAGGGCTATCTCAGTCTGGGGTCCTTCCCTGGCTGCTGACACGGCTGAACCAGACCCTGGAAGATCAAGGGGCCACTGCGTATGTGAGGAAGGTGTGGGGAGGAGCGGGGAGGGGCCGCTCCTTAGGTTTCAGTAGCAGGAGCTTCGGGTGCCTGGTGGGTTAAAAATACAGAGGCCCCAACTCAGGGTCATTTGATACCAGTGGCTGAGGCTTGGTAAGCCCAAGGGCCTGAAGGCAGGGACCTCGAGGATAGGGGCTTCATAGCAAAGTTTCAGAGGGAGAAGGATGGGGGTGGGCAGAGAGGGGTGCAGGTGCTGGAAAGGGTAAGAGTGGCACTGGAGCCAGAGAGGGCAATGGGAAGGTGTGGGATGGGGTGACGAGGTCTGGTCACTGCAGGACAGGAGAAGAATAGAATGAGTCACCATGTAGTCCCGTCTCATGCCCTTGGGGATACAAAAGTTCAGATCCATGATGGAACAAGTCTAATGTTCCAATGTTTCCCCCTCCCTCAGAATGCAGCAGAAGTGGGAAATCTGGGCTGGACGACATCTAGGTCATCTACTCTGGGTGGGCCTGCCCATCTCTCCCAGCTGTCTTTGCCCTGGTTGTGGGCCTCTGGGCATATTAGTCACTCTTCTGGGAGAAACGGAGATGGGATTCTGAGCTCTTTTCAGCTCTAACATGCCATACTTAGGCTGGCTCTGGTCTCCCCTGCTACAGTGACAGCTGTCCCTCTTGGACCCATTCCTGCCTTGTTCTTGAGATTCTCTGTGGCCTTCCTTGCTTAACTGTGTAATGTCCACCCCACGGGAGTGTGGGCAAGTTATTCTGCTAACATAATTCCATGCCCCTGCCTGGATACAAAATAAACACTATCCCTCCAGAATCAGAGGTACCTCAGGGTGGGGGTGGGAGCATCTGACTTTGATCTAGTCTCTCCCTGGTCTCCCTCATGCCTCAGTTTACCTGTGCATGGTAAGAGCCCTGGAGGGCCATGAAGAAGATCCTTCTTTCCTAGGAACCCAGAGCTGAACTCACCCACTCTGCCTCACCTCCAGGCTGAGATCCCTTACTCCCCAACTCCACTTCATATCTCAGGTGCACAGAATTAATCAACATCCTTGGTTCAGGACACAGGGCCCACCTCCTCGTGTTTTTCCCCAGTGTTTATACCTGATCCTCTTTGTCTTGTTAAAGACATAGGAACAAGTAGTACCTATTTGCTCTGTTTGAAATCATGCAACCTGAGGAATCCTCCCTTCCCACTGTGCCCTGGAAAACCAAGTTCCATTCTGTAGGATCAGGGTAGAGAGCACACGCAGGAGGTAGCAGCCAGCGACATTCCCCTTCTCATCATGGGCCTTAACGGCAGAGAAACCCAAATCAGAATTTCTACAGGATGGGATCTGGCCAGCCCTACCATTCTCCTGCATTCTGAGTTAGCAGTGTTGAGTGAAGCAAAGGAAACTGGCTGGAGCTGAGCCAAGTCTCCAGTCTTCGACACGGCTCCATCTTTTATTCAGGGAACGACCTCATCGTTGGGCCTGTTCTTTAAAGGTAAGTGCAAGGGGTCTCTTTTCTGCAGCCTGGATCACACTTTTATTGCTCCCCCACCCCCCTTCTCCAAAGGATCAAAGAAACAGACTTCACCTATAGAAGATTCCCTGGTTTTAGGATGCAAAGTCAATATCACACTTGTCCCCTTTTGTCCTATGTTATCAATTTAGCCTCTGACACAGAATACCTCCATCCATCCAAATTTCCTTCTGTCTAGTTACCCTGGCCCTGTCCTCTGCTCTCCCAAATAACCCCTCCACGTCCCCTCCCCCAGTCCCAGCTTCATTTACCTCCGACTCATCTGGTCTTATTTTTAGCTCCAGCGCCTCTCCCTTTTCCTTTCTTAATATGGTGATGAACTCTTAGGCCGGTGTGGGGACAGGGGCTGAGGAGCCCTGGACATTGGGAGTCGGGGGAGGGAAGAAGCCACTGGGAGACTGGCGGAGAGGTGTAGGAGGTGGGAGCATTCCAGCCCTCATGGAGCTGTCCTGGCCTCAGAAGGTTATCCATCTCTCTTGCCAACCACAGAGACATATTTAGACAGGACCAGGTGGGGACCGAGGGCTGCCAATTTCAGGGGGCAGCTCCAGTTCCATCCCCGCCCCCTGCTCCTATTCCTCCTCCTGACCCTTTTCCTCTTGGCTCTGTCGGCAGTTTCTCCAGGACCCAGCAGTGTCCTCTGTCCACTGCTCTGGGCCACTTCCCACCCCACACCCACCTTCAGCCCCAAACTCAGGATTCGGGACCCGGGGCCCCACCCCCACCCCAGCTAATCTCTTCTGGACCAGGACAGCTGACCCAGATCTCACTACCTCCATGAGGGCTACAGACAGGATGGGGGCCAGAGCTGTGCTGGGTCTGCGGCTGGCACTGTTATTAGTGCTGGTGCTAGGGACACCCAAGTCAGGGGTACAGGGGGAGGAAGGGCTGGACTTCCCTCAGTACGATGGTGTGGACCGTGTGATCAATGTCAATGCAAAGAACTACAAGAACGTGTTCAAGAAGTATGAGGTGCTGGCACTCCTTTACCACGACCCCCCCGAGGATGACAAGGCCTCACAGAGACAATTTGAGATGGAGGAGCTGATCCTGGAGGTGAGTGAGGGGGACTGCGGGGCTGCAGAGCATGCCCAGCCCCTCTCTGAGGTCCTATCCTACAATCCCATGTAGATCTCTGAGGTTGGGATCTGGGGGTGAGGGACAGTGTGGCAGGACCCCTGTCTTGACCAACAGGATACAAGTGGCAGGTAGCCTTAGCCAAATGAGAAACAGAGACCCAGGAACCCAAAAGTATTATGATAGGTCGTTGCAGACGGGGTGCTGCAGGGCATCTCCCCTCCATGCTATAGGAGGCTCTTAGCACCAGGTTTGACTAGGACACAGGGTCAAAAAAGGGGAAGGGAGGTACTTAGGGGCAAGGGAAGAGCTGCAGTGTAGTGTGCTGCACCCCCCTCACCCCACCAACAGACTCTCCTGGCGAGAACATGCCCCCTCTCCACACACTTTAGGGCCTGCACCCCAAAGAGATCCAAACTGAGTATAAATTTAAATACTGATATCATACTTACATGTCATTTATGTAATGGCTAAATGTTTAAATATCTCCTAGAGACCATCCCTCCTATCGGTCTCCCAGTTCCCTCTCTTCCTTTCCCTTCCCTGATTCCCCATCTGTCCCTATTGATAAAGCTGGATGCCCTCACTGGAAAATTCTTATGGTTGAAGGAGGCTTCAGAACACCTTCCCTATCTTTGTGGAAAGAGTCTCCTTACCCCCAATCTGACAGAAGACCCAAAGGAGAGAGGGGTTATTGCAAAAAGAAAGGAAAAAAAACCTATGCTTAGGGGTGCCTGGGAGATGTGGTCACACACAAACCCCTGTAGGAGCCGGGATGTGTCTGAGTTTCCTTGTCCAAGCTTCTGTGACCCTTTTTTCTGGCTTGGTGGTACAGATAGGCCCCAGCTTGTCGAGCTTGGCTCATTTCAGGGTGAGACATCAAGACTACAGGCTGTCATTTCTGTGTGCCCCTGCAGGGTGCTGGAAACTGCCATCTGATTAATGAGCTCAGTATTTTTATCCTGAGTGCTCAGTATCCCTGGCCATACACCTGCCAACCACCACCCTTCCCTGTCCCCCTGAGAATCACGGTGCCTGAGTCTGTGCTGGGTGGGGTAAAGCCACAAGCTACGCCCGCAGCAGAGTGAATCAGGGTTAAACGCTGAGCTGAGAGGCTTATGGGGGCAGGGACCTCCAGTGTGACTGTCCACAGCCCAAGGACAGGCTAAAGTAGAGTGTGAAAGTGGAAAGTTGGGCCTGGATGAGAACTGTCCAGTCTGTCAGTCCCTCTCCCTCTGGGGGTGACGAGGGGTGACTTGTACTCTCAGCTCTCTGGCCTTCTCCACTCCTCAGCAACATAACCAGACCTCCAAAATTCTTCCCATTGGGAGTCACTCTGAAGAATCTCAGGGACTTCTAACATCACCCCCACACTGAGCTTGGCCTTTGATCAGGATGGAGTGCAAGGGCCCAAGTCTTAAGGAGGGAAGGGGCCCTCCATTCACTCTGAAGCCAGACTTCTCAGCATCCCTAAGGTACTGGGAAGTATCAAGTGCAGCGCCTTAAAGTGAGAAATATTCATGAACTAAAATAAGGTCAAGCCAAAGACGGAAAGGGTGGGGTTGTAGGGATTTGGGGAATATTCTGAATCTTAGCATATGTCAAAGTCAACTCTTATATTTCCTGCATTCCAATTGATCCAACTTGAAAGCATGAAATGGGGAATAGGAGTTAATAAGAATTCCAGGGGCTAATTTTAACTCTAACCCCTCCCTCCAGTTAGCAGCCCAAGTCCTAGAAGACAAGGGTGTTGGCTTTGGGCTGGTGGACTCTGAGAAGGACGCAGCTGTGGCCAAGAAACTAGGTAAGGGAGAGACGGGAAGAGCAGGAAGGGGAAAGCGGCATGGGAGACTGGGGGAGGCCCGAGTGGGAGGACTTGGCAGACAGGCAGTGGGATCTGAGGAGCTCAAGAACTCTTCCACCATGTATATTCTGAAAGGAGGGTAGAAAATAATGAGATTGGGAGGTTTATGGCTGGGGGTCCCAGACTCTCCTTTATTCACTTATGGAGACCCACTCTCAAATTCTAGAAAGAGGTGGGGTGACCTTCTTTATACTTACCTAAAAATCATGGCTAGGTGCGGGGAGTCAGGGAACACAAGCAGAGCTGGAGAAGCCTCTGTAAACTCCTCTCCCCACCCCTCCCCCTCCAGAGCCGTGGCTGGGTGTTACAGCAGCCGGCCACCAGGGGGCAGCACAGGCTGGAGACCGGACTCCGGATATGGGTGGGGGAGGGGCGGCTCGTAATAATGAAGTCACCTGGTCAGTAATAGCAGAGTTAAAGGGCTGGACTGGGAGTCAGCTACTAGGAGGTAGCCTGAATGTTTGTCTCTAGTTATAGCAGGGAGAGGAAGGGAGAAATACCGCTGGAATCAGGATCGCCCTGCTCCCTCCTCTCACGCCCTGCCCGAGGCCCCCGCCCCGCCCCCCGCTTCTCCCCGGGGAGCCGCTGGGCCAGGCTAGCTTCCTGGGCTAAATGTAGGGGCGTCGACATCGGGAGGAGGGGCTAAGGGGCCGTGGAGGCGGTGGGCAGGGAAGGGTGAGGTGCACGATGTGGGGTCCCGTGGGATTACCACATGGGCTGTGAGCCTGGATTTGGATCCTCGGATCTGTGGGAAGGTTGGGATAACGGCTCACCTCTGGCTCACTCCCTAGGACTAACTGAGGAGGACAGCGTTTACGTGTTCAAGGGAGATGAAGTCATCGAGTACGACGGCGAGTTTTCTGCTGACACCCTGGTGGAGTTTCTGCTTGATGTGAGCGTTCCCCCCTGAGGGCCTTGCTTTAAGACTGCACTGGCACTTAGTCCCTACCAACCCCAACCTTACACTGCACGCACCCCACACACACATACCACACTCACCACACTCACACCACACACATGCACCACACACTCATCACACACATGCACCACACAC